GGCCGGGGAGGGACATGGAACACTAAAGTTTTATCAGTCATCCTTGAACTGTATTTTAATGGCCCTTCACGTCACAAAATGCATAATTTCTCAATTGCAATTCCTTTCTAATACTAAAACTTTCCAAAAGCCATTTATCACACGAGTGCCAAATGGATCATTTTATTTTGGTTTAGGAGCACTTTCTCTGGAGAGCCTTTTTGTTTATACATTTGAAACCCCACAAAGTTTCCTGTAGTATAGAAGTGAGAAATTGATACAGAGTAAATTAAACATACAGGAAATTTTCTTTTTTGTTTCCAGATAACTATATCTCCAATTCCAGGAGTATTTCTCCTATCAAACAAACACATGGATTCTGCTTGATAAGCAAATTACGCATTTACTAAATAAGTAAAGCATGAAATTTTGGGAAGCTATATTATCCTAAAACGCTTTGTATTCATTTTTGCAAAACCGCTTACCCCAAATCATTGTTAATTTATTTGAGACACTGTTTTTCAAGATTAAAAAAAAATGTGCAGTTTTTTGACACCAGCTTTTGGGAAAGCAGGGTTCCAAGTTTGTCTCTCGAGTTCAAGCGGCAGGCATTTTGCTACTTTGTGTGACAGGTCTTTTATTTCACCTGGCCATATTTATTTACAATAAGGTGAGAGAGTGTCTTCTGCAGGATGATGCGGTTAGTGCCTCTGGAGATTACAAATCTTCTAGGGTCCCCTCAACCCCCTGCCCACCCACTTCCGTCTCGGTGGGCTCCATTTTGCCTCAAGCAGATAATTTTCCCCCCATTTCTGGTGAGGAAATATTTCAGGAGGACTGCTCTGAAATACGATTGATTTTCACAGCTAGCACAGCATGGATATAATTGTGTGAAATTAAAATGTAGTTGGAAAACCTTTTCTGAAGATCAAGTAGAACGGACTTTATTTGGAAAACGCTGTTCAAGTCCTGCAACGTGGTCACTAGGGGGCATTCAAACACTGCTCACTGCAAAAAGCTGCTAGGCCTGCTTTGAATGACCACATTTGTTGAAGATTAGTGAATTATTGAAATAAGCAGTAGTTGGAAGTTATCAAGTGGAAGCCTCAACACTTGACACTTTAATTTCCTATATAAGAGCATGATTTAGGTCTGTAATATTGTTCCTATTAATCCATTAAAAACACTTTAAGGTGGTTTGAGGCTCGTTAGCAAGGATACAGAGTGAATAAATTAATGATAAAATACATGCAACGACAGATGATAGATGTTATCTGTAGCTGTCAGCTAATGCAGAGGGATCATGACCCAAGAGAGAAGATGATCATAAGTATTTCTAAGCTTTCATCTGGTTTAAACTGCTCCAAATAGCGATCAGAAATTTAAATTTAGAAAACAATATTGATCAACGACCTTTGTTTGGTTGTTACAAAGAACCTTACCATTTTAACTGTCCAGAATTTTATGTGAAAAATAAAAGCTTTAGTAATTATAAAACAAATGCTTAGACTTTTCATGAGCAAAATTAAGAAGTCAAAGTATTGCTTACTATGTCTTATTTTGAAAAATGAATCATTTTAAATATAAAAATTTAAATGAACAACAATAATGCAAATTTAGAAAATACAGTTTTCAGAAAATTATCATTAATCAATAAACATTTATTAGGTTCATGCTATAGAACTGAAATTTGGTGCTTAGAAAAACCACCAAAATGGTCTGTTTAAAATTTCTTTTCATTTTAAAGAATATTATTGCACTATGACAGGCCATAATCTGTTAATATAGAAAATTTTTGTGTCAAAAAGGGTTTACAAAACTCAAATGAATTATAATGAGTAAAAGGAGGAACTCGGAAAACTTTGTCAGCTGTAGCCACAGTTCTGAAGAGCAAGCACTTCTTCAGGAGTCGAAGACCCTACTTTTAAAATGAGGATTCTTAAAAAATCATAGAACACTGAGTGTTAAAATATACACAGAACAGGAACTTCTAAGGTAAAGTCTTAGGTCAAATCAATACCTTGTTTTCTACAACTGTGGATTCATGCAAGATGAATTAATATATCGCTTCTTTTTAGATAATAGCTAGCTTACCATGTAAGGGAGATTAAAACACAAAATAAAGTTGTGCTAGGTATATTGGGATAAGACTTTTATTTATAACTTGAAACAAATACTATCATCTTAAGTTCAAAATAAAATGTGAATATTTAAAAATCTTTTATTTGTTAGATGTTCTTAAATACCTATTTTTATGCTCCTATATGTTGCGTTTGTGTTCATAAGCATTACATTTTATTTTAGGATGAAAAATGTTCATTTGGAACTCAAAGCTGAGTATTGAAAAATCCAAAAAGAATTTCTTATATAATTATTTCAAATTCTAATATTTATTCTTAAAAGTTTATCAAAATTCTTTAAGAAAAACAATGAATTAAACTGAATACATTTTGAACTGCAGTAATAATAACCCTATACACTTTTGAATATGATGGAAAGATTTTAAGAGTATAAATTCATAGCAACAGTTTTTTAAAATTAATACATTTTAATTTTTTGTCAGTTTTACAATAAAATGTCACTAGTTTGAAGATTTCAAGCACATCACTGTAAAAATTCCCAAAACTCAGAGCAAAGAAGAATGTTATCCAGCATTCATTTTTAAATATTTTAATAATATTATTTTACATGAGTAACTTTTAGGGAGAGATACTGTTTTTCAGATTTGCCTGTGGCTTTGCAGTTCCCAGTTTAGATCAACTCTAAAATAAAGCTACAAACAATTACACACATTCACAGGCATATTCCAACAGGTTGGAGTTTTACAAAACAATTTTTTAGTTTATGAATTTACTCTTGAAAAGAAATACAAAAAGCATTTTCTCTGTAATAATTGATATAGTCAACATTTTTAAAAACCACATTTTATCTTTAGTTTTAACAACATAAAAGGGCAAGTTTCTATGAAAAACTTGTTGTATCTGGAAATTGTTAGGCTCTCTGGGGCTTCAAGTAATTAATGATAATTTCAGGGAAATACACACTGGATGATTACTTTTCAAACACTGCAATGAGTCTATTGTAAATAACACAAAACTAGTGATTTTCTATTCTTTGGGAATGACACTCATTTACAGTGAGAAAGCAGCAGACTTACCTTTGACCTCCACTAGAACGATGGCATGAAGGAGAAGCCACATTGCAATCAATCTGAGCTAGAGAGATGTCCAATATCAGAAAAAGAGCAATAGGTCCGGAGCAGTTGAGTTCTTAGACGTCCTCCTTACACCTCAGGAGTTCTAATATAGTGAGTCTGGTGCCTCCCATGCGTCTGAGCATGCTCACAGCCAAAACTTCACTGGCGTGAAGGGAGTCGGATTCTTGTCACTATGTGGCCTGTCTTTTCTGGTCTCTTGTGCTGTTTGTTTCATTTTATTTCAAATGCACAGTTGTGTTCTTGGTCATTGAATTCAGTAGGGTGGATAAAGAGTGATGTAAATAAGACTTGAATATTATTAGTTAAGAAAGACTTTCAATTGCTTAACTTTTTTCTCAAGGGATCGGGAGCAACTTGCACCTATTTTAAATCTAACCGTGCATAGAAATCCATAAGTCTGAAGGCATGTAGATTTATACTAAACAGATTATGAAATCTTTACAACCATATTTTTCATGAGAGAAGCACATGAGAAAACACTTCTTACTGTCAAATCCACAACTGCCACCTACTTTTACTCAAACATATTGAAATGTTTCCAAAGGGCATAGAGAAAGATAGTAAGAATTAAAATATATGGCCTTGTGCTCAACAGGCAAAACATTTACACAACACTTTGAACTATATTTCCTTTCTTCAAACTCATATTCCTGTTTTAAAGTACAAAACTTCTTCCATGCATTCAATTCTGGGTTGCATCCCTACTAAAAACTACTGTGACGTTTTTCAGAGCCTGCAGAAAAGGCTAGCAGCTTGCTTCCTAATAAGCTACAGTATGGAAAGGGACCTCAGCTGATCCTAGTGCAATCCTAAAGACTTCTCCAAAAAGACATGTAGAATTTCCTTGTCAGAGTATAGATTTTTACTAATTGGGAACTGTGTAGAAAATGGTTTGTAGTCCTGATTCAGATGGAGGGTTTGGAGCTGCAGGAGACAGCTTCTCTGTGTGCTATGGTTAGCTCATCCTCACACTGCTGAGAAGACTCCCTCGTCCTTATGTGCGGTCGGGTGGGGCTTTCCTGTTCTTTCCTTCATTCCAGCCTTTGACAGAATGAGAATTCAAACCAAATTTGAAATAAAAATACTTTATCACATAATGAAGTTAGTTCTCTCTCTTTTTTTTTTTTTTGGTCTTTTTGAGACAGGGTCTCCCTGTAGCCCCAGCTGGCCTGGAACTGCTATGTAGACCAGGCTGGCCTTGAACTCACAGAGATCCGCCTGCCTCTGCCTCCCGAGTGCTGGGATTAAAGGCATGCGCCACCACGCCCGGCCCAGTTCTCTCTTTTAAGACGTGTGTTAAATTCCCTAGATACATTCTCATCTGATTTTCAAAACAAAGGAAAAAGCAACAGAAAGAATAAAGTCCAAGATAAAAAGAAATATGTAAAGATCATTTCTTATGTTTAAAGAAACTTTATTGTTCTTCACTAAACCTGAGGTCCTTAGAGATAAATTTCCCCTACTCCACTTAAAAAATATGGATGGGGTTTTCTTATACTTGTGTTCTGCCAAGATGATGGATGCTAGTTTCTGGTACTAAAACTTGGAGCATGAATTTTTAAATGTAATTAAATAACATGAATTTTCCATCACAAGCCTACTTAATGTTTAAATATATTCTCCACAAAAATAGTTTTGGAGAAAGAAAAAATTGTCAAGATTTCAAAGAATTTAGTTTAGACTTCTGCATTAATGTTCAGTCTAGGCAATAGGTAGAAATTGTTAAAAAGTTGAATCATCTCTGTGAGGCTAATCACAGTTAATCACTGAAATATTAACACAGTAAGATTCAGAGCTCAATAATTATATTAGTGAAGCTTATTACTGACTTTTAAAGGAAAGACGTTCACTCATTTTAATATCTTCTCAATTAATTTAATGTATTTTATCTTTGATTCATCTTGTGTACATTTCTAGCCTTTTGAACTGCAATGGGAGTGGTTGAGATACACACAGGGGTATAATATATATGTTTAAGGAAGGGTGAATCAATTTAGTCTCTCCTTAAAGATATAATTGGCAAGGAGATTCCAAGTGGTGCTTCTTGTAGAGCTAGGTTGGAAGACTTGGAAGATTGGTTCAGATTTTACAAGTGTGTTTTATTGATCCTTACCACAATCAACTTTTTTTTTCATTACAATCTCCTGACCCTAGCATCTGTATTTTTGACAAAAATACTTTGAAAGCTCATGTAAATATCGATCTTACTATATAGTGTAATTCAATATGATTCTGACTAATAGAAAGGAGTTTATTTGCTGAACTACTAAATACTTGTAGAAGCAGACATTCTTTTCTTCTGTACCTTTTATAAACATTATGGAAATCATGGTTAAGTAGATAATACTTTCAAAAAACTTTCTTATTTTATTTTTTAATTAAACTTTTGCCAATTTCATACACTGTATTTTTTTAGGGGTCTTTTTATGAGACGGGGTCTCCTTGTAGGCCCAGCTATCCTGGAACTCACTATGTAAACCAGGCTGGCCTTGAACTCACAAAGATCCACCTGCTTCTGCCTCCCAAGTGCTAGGATTAAAGGCGTGCACCAGCACACCCGGCCATACACTGTAGTTTGATCACATTTACACCCCTCCCATTACTATCCCCACCCAATCTCATGTACTCTGTTTACTATATTTTATGTATATGACCTACTGAGTCTGATTTGTGTCCCCTTTGGTGTGGGTCCATACACTGAAGCCTGGTTAGATTACCCAGTGTCACACCTTTAAAACAAACTGACTCTCCCTCTACCAGCAGCTATTGGTTACCAATAGCTCCTCAGCTAGGGATGGGGCTTCCTACCCACTTCTCCACTTCGGTGTTGGGATTATGTGGGTCTTGTATATGCTATCACCATTGCAGTGAGTTCATATGAGTAACTGCCCAACCGTCTGGAAAACTTTGTTTTCTTGTGGTCATCCATGTCCTCTGACTCTTGCAATCTTTTCTCCCCCTCATCTGCAATGATCCCTGAGTCTTGGGAGGCAGAAGTTTGATGTAGGTGTCCTATTCGGGGATAAGCACTCTACAGTCTCTTGTTCTCTGCACATTGGCCAGTTGTGGGTCTTTGTATTATCATGTGCTACGTGAGGAAACTTCTCTGGTGAGAGCTGAGAAATGTATTAATCTATGGATATAACAATAAGTCCATCAGACTCAGTTTAATACGATGTCTATTTAGTAGAATAACAATAGTAGAATCTCCCCTATGGCTTGTGACCTGGTTAGCCACAAGTTCCTGGACCAGATATCAGAGTCAGACATAAGCTCCATCTTGTGAAGTGGACCTTAAGTTCAATAAGATAGTGGTTGGTTACTGCCATAAAATTTGTGCTACTATTGTACTAGTGAGCATATCTTGTCAGGCCAGTTGTTGTAGCTTGCAGGATTCACAGCTGGACAAGACTGATGATTATTTTTCTCTTTTGATAGCATACATAGCACCTTCCAGCACAATAAAAGCTAGCCAGTAGAGATGAAGCTTTAAGGTCAATACCAGATTGATTCCTCCTTGTTTGTTCTACAACACATGTATATGAGTGTCTTCAGCAACAGGGTCTTACCCGAGCAACCAAAAGCAGGGGTAATGGCCAGTATTGTTTGAGGATCTATAGAACCCCTGGTCAATAGATGCAAAAGAGAGAGCCCATTCCTTGTATTGGGCTTTTCCTTTGCCAGCCCATGTCTAATCAAGGATGTGAAATACCTGAGTAATAAAAATTTTAAGGTACTGAAGAAAGAAACTAAAGATGCCAGAAGATGAAAAGATCGTCTATGCTCATGGATCAGTAGGATTTATATTGTGAAAATGGCCATTTTACCAAAAGCAGTCTACAAATTCAATGCAATATCCATTAAAATTCCAACACAATTCTTCACATAGATTGAAAAATAATCTCAAATTTCAAATGAAGACAAAAAAACCCCTAGGATAGAGAAAACATCCTCAACAATAAAAGAA